TTCGCAGCCATCCTGTGGATACCACCTGATCTCAAAATAGCAATCCTCCGGCTTCATCCTACATGCTGGAGTTACCGGAGCGCACCACTACCACATCTGGCCTAGTATTATCCTTAATTATTTATAGAAGTATATTTTCTTGAATATTCAAGCACATAATACTAACTAAAATAGGAATGTGCAGATGTGAGTACCAGCTCAAAATAACTCAAAAAGACGTAACCTCCGAATTCACTGGCTATTTACAGATTAGCAATCCATTGTCTGCTTGGCAGCTATTTAGACAGTCCCACCTGTTGCTGATATTATGCAATCAGAACGCCCAAATTAATCACTGTGCACGCATGCGTGCACAAGGTCTAGAGGACATCAAGTGTCCTTTTCTGTAACTCTCCACCTATACCCACGAGACAGGGTCAGTCACTGAACCTGGAGCTAGCCTGGCAGCAACAAAGCCCCTGACTCTGCCCCCCCCCTTATACTTCTAGTATGTGTGACTAAACCTGGCTTTTTATATGGTTGCTGGGGATTCGAACTCAGTTCCTCCTGCCCATAGAGTGAGCATTATTACCCACTGAGCCATCTCCCCAGGCCCTCACTCACTCTCTTCTCTCCCCTTATGACTGTATCACATACCATTGCTTCCAAATACCTTTCCTAGTTGTTATCCACATAAATTCATTCTTCTAACAGACCACAATCTACTCAGCTGTCCCCCACCATGGAGCAGTTTCCAGCTAATGACAGTAATACATAAGGCAGCTGTAAAGGTCTTTGCAAATATTTTTCTGCTACTGAATTATTTTTCCAGAATATATTCCCCAAAGTGGGATAACATCCCCCCGTCCCCCCTCCCCCGTGCTATAGATGGAACAAATATGAAGAAAGCCCTCTCCCACTGAGCCACTCACTGGGGAATTCTAGGCAGACCTTCCAACCCTCAGCCCCTTGGTGGATTCTGTGTAGGCTGAGTTTAACGTAGTTTTACAATCATTCAAAAAAAACAAAAAAACAAAAAAAAACTCTGTGGCAAGTATTATTGCCAAATGTCTCTCCAGGAGGCATTATTTACAGTGCCAAGAATCTACATGTTTCTCCACAACACATTTTTAACTTTATCTTTGGTGCATGCCAGTGGTTTTATTTAGTGAATTCTTTTTCACTTTAGCAGTCCTTGCTGGTAGATTCTTCCCCTAGATTTTTGTTCCTTGTCCAAACTGGTCTCTTTTTTTAACAGGTACACTAGTGATTCAACTTTCCCTTATGAAATCAAAATTCCATGTTGTCTTGTAATCTTACTGGCTTCCATGTCTTCCTTTCTGCTTTGCTGTGTATATATTTTTATATTTATTTTAAAGCCAAGGGCTCAGGTAGCCTAGGCTGGTTCTGGATTTGCTATGTAGCCAAGGATGATTTCCCTGCCTCCACCTGACTGCTAGGATTACAGGTATGTACTATACCTGTTTGTATTCAGTGCTGGGCATCAAACCAGGGCTTTGAGTACGCTAGGCAAGCACTCTACCAACTGAGACTATAGCCCCATCTGCCTTTTGTTTTTGAAGGTCTCTGGAGCCTAAGCCGGCCTCCAACTCACAATTCTGCTTCAACCTCCTGAGTCCTGGGATTACAGGCTTGCACCACCTTGTCCAGCACTTAGATTTTATTATGTAATAGAAGTTGATCATCTGAACATTGGTGATTTCCCACACTGCTTTCTACAAACAGGGAATGTGTCCTTCCAAAAAGGCATCCCTTTTCAGCCCCCGAACATCCCACCTGGACTTGTCCCAAAGCTCCCAGGCCCCCCAAGCACTGTGTCATCATCATCCCCACCTTAAGTTTCTCTTGAGCATCATTTCTTCACAGCTCCCAGGTAAACACGTCCCCACAGTCACCTCACAGCTCATCTCTCTTCCAAAGCTGCCACCACAGATCAAAAGGACAACAGTGGCTGCTGCCTGCCTCCAACTGTATCCGTCTCTAGATTTTGACACCCCAATCCTAGCCCCCAACCCCCATGGTGACTTTCCAAATCCTGCTTGGCACCCCAATCCCATCCTGCCTTTAGGCTTTGGGCAAACATTTCTGAAAAGTAATTTTGCCAAGAAAGCTAAGGAAAAGCAATAAATAGTAAGGTCCTAGGAAACACATAGAAAGCATAAGAAAGGCATTAGATTACAGATTTCATATCCTATCTAACGTTACTGCTGATTGGCTAAGCTGTGTTTTGTTTTTCACCTCTAACATTATATATTAAAGATATCCATTTTGTTGTGTATGAAATTCCACTCTTTGCACCCAAGCATCACTACTGATTCCCCACTGAGCCCCATAGTGGCCTTAAAAGAAATATGGTGTTTCTCTTATTCAAGAGTAAGGAAACATGGCTGAGTTTTTATGGATCTTGAAATATGGGGACACTGTTCCTCCCTTAATCTCTGCCTCCCAGGCCCCAGCTCACCTGGGCAGGTGCAGAGATGGCGGCGGCGGTGGGGGGGTGTGCCAGTGGTTCTGCACGATCATCTGTGCATCTCGGACTCCAAGGCCTGAAACTTTCTGAAGTGCTGGGTCTGTTAGAGTCACTGCATTTCCCGAAGGCCCAGAACAATGACCATCTTCAGACACTTACCGTGTCCCTGAGACTTTGGAAATCTTTTTGAAGGAATGGATAATGCAGGCCTGGAAATCAGCCAGCCTGGCCACTCACCGGGTCACTGGACATCCTATGGGTGGCATTTCAGGGCAGACTAGT